ACCTGATCGGCCAGAAGATATCTAAAATAAAGGGTCTAAGTTATCCAGATAACCTAATAACTTAAGCTAGCCAATAAAGGTTTAAAAAAAATGCAGAGCTATTCATCCTGTAAAATTGCATTCCTTACATGTGAATTGGGGGCAAAATCCAGTGTTACTAGGCTATTTTTTCACCAGGTTGAATGTTATTCATTTTTAGAGAATATAGGGAATTGGGAAAATACTGTATTATGGCCAGTACATTAAGCTTTAAATATATATTTATTTTTATATAAATATATATTTTTTTTGTTTTAAATACTTCCTATGATCATCAGCCCCCAGCATGTGCACAGCCATCATGAATAATGAATGGCTTATGATTGAAGAACATCTGACCAGGAGAGAAAATAGTTTTTCCCCTATCCACACAGAATTATTGCAGTTTCACATGATGAATAGCTCTGTAAAATTTTCTTTTTCTAAATTTACGCTTTAAACTCCAAACTTTCTGAAAAAAGGGACAAAAATACGCATTGGGAGGACTGTAGGATGGACTTTAAAAATGATGTTTGTGTCCTGATATCTCAAAAGCTTCCTCCACCCAAAATCAATATTTTGGTGACTGCATCATCCACTTACTGTATGCCTCTTGCTGCACTTCTTTGTAATATACTAAATGGCACATCCAGCAGCAAGACTCCCTTATCTTTGGCAGGTGGTGGCTTCATAAGCAACACTAATGTTTAGTGTGGCTTAAAACAAAGCTGAGTCTTTTCCCTTCTGCCAGCTCTGTAAATGACAGCATACAGTTCGATAAGTGTACCCGAGATATGACATTCCCAGTCTTAATAATTAGGAAAGCAGGTTCTAAACTGGTTTGGTGAGTCAGTCTCATTTAAACATTTAAAGAAACCCTTTTCATGAAAGACTCATTAAGCATACCAATTGGTCACTTTAATTCTAGAAGATGTTTAACTCGTATTACAAGGATTTCCTGTTCTGGAGAACTCTTTCAGGTAATCCAAGGGAGAGTTATTAGGCACGTTAATGACCAATAAAATAATAAATGATAATTTAGCAGTCGGATCATGGCTGCATGTTCAACCACTAGCTTTAATCTTGTCCGCATTGTTTGCCCTGTGTCAGTACAGAAAAAACATTTACTACAAGTTATTATGGTGCTGGCCATAGGAGTTTCCAATCACAGTGAGCCCCTTAAACTATCTTTTAGGCTAAAACTGGCCATAGATGGGTCAAAATTCAGCTGCTTCGGCAGGGACTGGCCAAATTTCGATCCATATATGGCCATGCCCATGTGACAGAAGTCAATCTAACAATCAACTTCTGTTGAACAGGAATGTTGGAAACATTTTGTTGATCAGCGGCTGCAGCCATTGTACAGTGTATTCTGATAGTGGAGGAGTCCCGCTGTCAGAATACATTGGCACAGTGTGGAGCATTTTTCCATCCATATCACTTGTGTGAATGGGGGAATATGTTTGTTTTTTACAATCAGACTGCTAACTGATCGAAAAAAAAACACGTAATCTATGGCCAACCATAGTCCACCTTTGTGAGGTTTGTTTCATGTTATATCATATTTAACTTCTTGCCAACTGGGTAACACATATATGCAGTGGCCAGAAAAGTGGGCTTTAAAAGAGAATTTTGGGATTTTTTCAAAATATACTAACCTAGGTGGATGCAGCATTGATCTGATGCTGCATCTCTCCCTTTCTGGCTCTAAGGCTGAGAACTGAGCGATCAGACACTGCTGATCACTCAGTTCTCCCTCCCACTCTGAGCAGAGAGCGGTGACTATCAGTCACCACCGTCTGCCCTCCACTGGAATGCTGGGCTGTGGAGGGGTGGCTCCTGACTATATGGAGGCGATCTTTCCTCAGCCTAAACCGGCTGAGTGACATCAGCTAACAGCAGACTTAGGCCTGCTGTAGGCTGAAAATGGGTTACCGGAGGGCAGAGCGAACTGCACTCCTGAGATCCACAGAAGTACAGCCAAATGAGCTATGGCTTGACTTCTCCTTTAATGCCCAGCCAATGCACAAATATGTCCATGGCTGCCTGAGAGCATTCATTAAAGCTGGCCATACATGGCTCAATTTTTTTTGTTCAACCAGAGAGATGAACTTAAAAACTTAACCAGTTCCCCCATCTACACAGTCAAGGTGGATGGGGGAATCCTCCCCACTGCACTATTGTACTATGACATTCAGAATACATTTCAGAATACACAGTTTAGAGCTTTAACCATTGGCTGCAGCTGCTGATCGATTTGTTTCCAGCAGGTCCATTTTACGGAAGTCGATTGACTTCTGTTGAGCAGCAGTGACCACACATGGATCAAAATTCAGACAGTCCCTGCTGAACCAGACAAATTTTGATCCATGTATGGCCAGCTCAACAGCTGTGGGTCACTGGTTCTACTTGGCAGCCAGTGGGACAGTCTCCCCCGACCATGTGATCGTTGTGAGAGCCAATCACAGCGGTCACTTGAGATTGAAGCCACTGCCACCCGGTGGTCATTTAAGTGGGCTTTAATGCCTGGGAGGTAGTGCTTTAAGCTGGCCATACATTTAGCACCTTTTTTCTTCTATCTCTATTATTTTTTCATGGTATATAACAAAAACAGAGAAACACAAAAAAGCATACAATAGCTAATTATAGATATTAACAAACTCCACCCCACCACTCCCCAAAAAAAAAGAAAATTCCCCAATTATGCCTTCCTGTTATCAAGGCCTTTTACCACCACATGGAGCAAATTTTGACGGGTTTCTGATAAATTGTCCAAGATTCAATTAGGTTGTGGCCCTGTCCCCTGCCTTCTGCCTGACATCCTTCAATTGAAGAGCAGACAATTGTTGACCAAACATTTCTTGCATATAATCAGATGAAGGCACTGCTCACTTATAGTGACAGCTCTGTCAGAATACAATGGAAGATTCGTCCTTCCATGCTGTATAGTGTGGATGGAGCAATACGTTTGATTTTTCCATTCAGCCCAAAGGTGGAACGCTAAAAAATCTGATAATGGTGAGAGCTACCGCTGTACAGATCTGGCACTGGGGGAGAGTCTGCACCTGTGTATTAGACATGTAACGTGCTGATTGTGGTTGCAATGCTCTGCAGGACTAAACCTAAGTGTTACTAAACCCACAACAGTAAAACCAGTCTGCATATGCAGTAAAGCATGCTTGTTATATTGACTACGGAACCTAAGGGGTTAATCCTCTGCATTGTGTAAAAATGCTGTTTGATCCTGTCTTCTCTGATCCTCCTCTTCTTCCAGTGCCCCCCTTTTATCTTCTGATAAGACATATTGTGTGGAGTCACTTGTATTTGTAGAGTTTTTTTTTTTTCTTGGGGGAGTGCATGTGATCAGCACTGGGCCAATCAACACTGCCTAGAGGTCAGGGGTTCTACATCCTCCTAGGGCAGAATGAAAACTCCAAGATTACTCAAACTGCTGATGAGAAAAGGTATTTAGCAGTTTATAATTACTAAAATAATTGCATTTCCATGTTCTGTGTACTGTGGGAGACCAGATACAGTGAATGCAGAGTCCTGGGTTTAGTAACACTTTAACTTTTCATTGTTTTTCCTAAAAAAGTGGACAATTCCTTTACGTTGTTTTGAGTTATAACTGAAAATGGCACTAAGCCCCCCATACCTCTGAGATCTGCCTTGTATATGCAGCAAAGAATTCCTGTACATATTGTATGATTTGATTTAATGATATAAGAAGAGCAGACACCCACTCCTCTCCTAGATCTCGCTCCTCTCTTGGATCCCCCTCCTCTCCTGGATCCCCCTCCTCTCCTGGATCGTGTTGCTCTCCTAGATCCCCCTCCTCTCCTGGATCTCGCTCCTCTCCTACATCTCGCTCCTATCCTTGATCCTCTCCTCTCCTGGATCCCTCTCGTAGATCTCGCTCCTCTTCTAGATCTCCCTCCTCTCGTGGATCTCGCTCCTCTTCTAGATCTCCGTCCTCTCCTGGATCTCGGTCCTTTCCTAGATCCCTCTCCTCTCCAGGATCCCTCTCCTAGATCCCCCTCTCCTGGATCCCCCTCCTCTCCTGGATCTCGCTCCTTTCCTAGATTCCTCTCCTCTTCTCTCCTGGATCCCTCTCCTAGATCTCGCTCCTCTTCCAGATCCCCCTCCTCTCCTGGATCTCGCTCCTTTCCTAGATTCCTTTCCTCTCCTGGATCCCTCTCCTAGATCTCGCTCCTCTTCCAGATCCCCCTCCTCTCCTGGATCTCGCTCCTTTCCTAGATTCCTCTCCTCTCCTGGATCCCTCTCCTAGATCTCGCTCCTCTTCCAGATCCCCCTCCTCTCCTGGATCTCGCTCCTTTCCTAGATTCCTCTCCTCTCCTGGATCCCTCTCCTAGATCTCGCTCCTCTTCCAGATCCCCCTCCTCTCCTGGATCTCGCTCCTTTCCTAGATTCCTCTCCTCTTCTCTCCTGGATCCCTCTCCTAGATCTCGCTCCTCTTCCAGATCCCCCTCCTCTCCTGGATCTCGCTCCTTTCCTAGATTCCTCTCCTCTCCTGGATCCCTCTCCTAGATCTCGCTCCTCTTCTAGATCCCCCTCCTCTCCTAGATCCCACTCACAGCCCCAACACACGTCCTCTGCCGGCAGCTCCCGCCCACGTGTCACACACTGCCAGCCAGCCTGATACCACATGGGATTCCATAGGGGGTGTGACCTGCCATCCTACCACGCCCCCCGGCTCAGCCTAACTGTAGAGTTTACGTCGTGGTGGGTGTGTTTGTATTCTGTCACCTCCCAAGTGGGCGCGGCTCATACGGCATATCTTCTACTGAGGTGGGCGGGGAGGCGCTCTGCCCCTCCTCAGTAGGCGGGCTCGTACAGTAGGAGATTTTAAATCCCTGTGTGCGGTATTGTGGCTCAGTGTGTGTAGAGTGTCATTGATCGGACGGATCGGGTCTTTATACAGCCGGCTCCCCTCTCCGATCGGACTGATCCCCGCCTGCAGGATGCTGAAGAACTGCTGGAGGAAGCTGCTGCTGTCCCTGGTAGGGGCCACCCTTACCTGCCTGCTGGTCCTGGTGGTGGATCAGCAGAAAAGACAGCTGGTACAGATGGCGCAGACCGACCTGTCCGGGCTGATCGGGGCAGCCTCCTCTGTCCAGGGAGGGGGGGACCCCTCCGCCAAGGACGCCCAGACCTTCTCCGCTTATTTCAGCCAGCTCACCCGGGAAAGAAAGGACGTGGAGCAGGTGGGGGCCCCTTCTGCAGGGGCCTCGGGGGCCAGCAAGCCCCCCATAGAAGACATCACCGCTAAAGATGTCTTCATTGCCGTGAAGACCACCAAGAAGTTCCACCGGTCCAGGATGGACCTGCTCATGGACACCTGGATCTCCAGGAACAAGGAGCAGGTGAGACCCCCAACATCACCCCCAACCTGGGGGGGCAGAATGACTCCTGATCACAGACGGGGGGGGGGGGGCATCTGATCTGACAATGGGGTGTGTGGGGGGGGGTCACTTCATTAGACAATGGTGTGGGGAGGGGGGTCACCTTATCAGACAATGGTGTGGGGGGGGGGGGTCACCTCATCAGACAATGGGGGGGGGGGGGGGGGGGGCAGGGTCAACTGATCTGACAGTGGTGGGCAGTCACCTCATCAGACAGTGGTAGTGTGGGGGTGCAACTTATCAAACAAAGGTGTGTGTGTGTAGGGGGTCATCTGATCTGACAATGGTGTGGGGGGGGGGGGGGCAGTCACCTCATTAGACAGTGGGGTGGGGTGCAACTTGTCAAACAAAGGTGTGTGTGTGTGTGTGTGTGTGTGTGTAAGGGGGGGGGGGGGGGTCATCTGATCAGACAATAGTATGGGGGTTCCCCTTATCCAACAATGGTGGGGGAGGGGTCCTCTGATCAGACAATGGTGGGGGTCACCTTAGCCCTTGATATGATCTACTCTTTCTACCATACCCTCCTATACACTCTTATATAAAACATCCATTGGGAGATCTAATCTGATCACAATGTTACATCTCTAGAGGAGTGAAGATGTCACTTAGCTGACCATAGGATAGGGATCACTGTGCCATCTGTTCATCCCCAGTGACACCAGGAGTCACAATGTGTCACTAGTGGGATCTTTAACTGGTATCACCTGTATTAAAAAAATGTATTCCATTGAAGCCATGCCACAAATGTTAGTGTCATAGTTCAGAGATAGACAATCGACTGACAGATAATCAATTGATAGATAATTGACTAGTTGATAATCAATTGATAACTATTTAATTTATAAATAATTGATCAGAATATAGATTTTTAGATGGGAAATTGATAGGCAATTGATTAATCAATGGACAAATTTATAGCTATATGATTAATAAGTAATTGACTAATCAATACATAGTTTTTATAGATGGATGATTGATAGGTAGCTGATTAATCAAGCATAGATGTATAGATAGTTGATAGGTAGTTGATTACACTATACAGATTTGAAGATAGATGATTGATCGGTAGTTGATTAATCAATAGATGGCTTTATAAATAGGTAATTGATTAATCGGTGCATAGATTTATAGATTAATGCATAGATTTAGAGATAGATGATAGGTAGTTAATCAATACAGATGTATAGGTAGGTAATTGATTAATCGGCGCATAGATTTATAGATAGATGATTGATAGGTAGTTGATTACTCAATAGACAGATTTATAGATAGGTAATTGATTAATCAGTGCATAGATTTATGGATAGATGATTGATAGGTAGTTGATTAATCAATAGACCGATTTATAGGTAGTTGATTAATCAATGCATAGGTTTATAGATTGAGTAATCAGTGCATAGATTTATAGATAGATTGATGGGTAGTTAATTACGCAATAGACAGTTTTATAGGTCGATAATTGATTAATCAGTGCATAGATTTATAGATCGATGATTGATAGGTAGTTGGTTAATCAATTACCTATCTATAAATCTGTTTGATTAATCAGTGCATACATTTATAGATGGCTGTTTGATAGTTAATTGATCCAATAGATGATTAATAGGTAATTGATTAATCAATGCATAGATCTATAGATGGAGATCTTTAGATAGATCATTGGTTGATAGGTAGAAAAATAGATTTCTAGATGGGTAGTTTGGTTGATCGATCAATTAAATTTAAAGATACAGTAGGTAGATAAAAGCTTGATTTATGGATGATGGATAAAGATGCATTACTGCATGGTAGATTCCAATGGTTTTCCCATATGTATGGATTTAGTTAGGTGACTACTCTATATGGCCTTCAGAATGTTTGATTCCAGGGATCACTATAGATGGAGCTTCTTTTATTTTGGCAGGATGCCTGTAATGGTATTCCCTCTATGACCATCGGTTAAGCCCCAGCTATCCATGGTACTAAATCTCTCTTCATCCCCACTTGTGATATATATAATTTTATAATTTTTTTCCCTGGAGAGGAGGGACCTGGGAGGAGCATGAAATTCAGTTTGTTTTCTGACTTAACCTGTCAAATGTGAAATGGGATCATATAAGGGCACACAGAGAGCAGATTGTTCTACTGTATTGTAGATGTCATGATTGACTGTATTTTCTACTGTATAGTAGAGTCCTCTCCCAGGAAATGTTCACAACTCTCCTCTATACATTGTACATCTGTTCCACATTGCTGTTTATTATTTTAACTTTTTTTGTCATTTTATTTTAATGAGGCAATCCGTTGTCTGCTTTATGACTTGCAACTGGTCTGGCAGGAGCTTTCAGCACTGTAGGGACTTCTAGCATGCATGTGGTATTGTAGAGAGCATTGCTGTCACTTCCTGCCAAAGGAAATGTTGCACGTTCTATCGGTTCTGTCACTCTTTATATTACATAGGAAATCAGCAAAATGCAGTAACCTAGTAACCTATACAGCCAATCAGAATTCATCTCTTATAAATTGGACTGAGATATGATTGGCCTACTGCATCTATATTTGTTTTATAAAAATACATTTTGGGCAGGCGAGCCTTAATTTTGTCATAATGGCCTTCTCAGATTTTACCCAGAAGGCCATCTACTTCATCCTTACCTTGTGTTTTATGTTTATTCTTTTGTCATGTGTGTGACTGCTTTTTTTTTTTTTTTTTTTTTTTTACCTCTCTATCCTTTGCGCCTGCATTGAAGTTAAGGATGGTGGGGGGGGGGGGGGGGGAGGATAAATTTCACGAGGACTATAGAATGACATCCCTGAGAATGAAGCCCGGCACTTTCTTCTTCGGTTTCTTTTTGTTTTGTTTGGTTTTGCAGGCTGTTTGAGTTCCCAGGGACCGAGCCTGTTCTTTCACGCTGTCCCCCAGCGTTCGCTAACAATGCCCCTTTTCTGCAAGGCCAGAGAAAGGCTTTTGCCGTCTCTTGCAAGGAGCTTTTATGCTGGGAACACTTGAAGTCCAAGCTATCACGGTGGTGTCCAGGTCAGGTTGCCTAAGAGATGTAGGCTGATGAAGCCCCAAGATAAAAAGATGATGGGAGGGGGGTAACGAGCAAAACGGGGAGAAAGCTTTCTGGGGGTTCTTTGACAAGGCTTGACAGTCCTTGTAGGGTTCTTGAAGGACAGCCGTTTGAGGGAGATGTGACCCAAATAGCCATTCAAGAATAGGCATGGAAGGCTACGCTTTCACATTGACCAAGCAGGATTGGTCTCAAATTCCCCGAGAGATATCTTGACAGCTACTCAGCTTCCACTAAAGAGGGCCAAGATAATCCTGTTCAGCATCTCGAATGTAAGTTTAGTTAAGGTTTGGAGGCCCCAAAGAAAGTCCAGCTTGAGTAATTCACTGCTTTACAAAATTCCCAGGAAGATCTGAATATCAAACACCCTCTTTTGCGCTGCCCCTTTAAAAACCAGCACTTGGCCATAGAGCGTCTTATGCAGAACATTTTAACTGTTGTGTATTTATCTTCTTTTTTTTTTTTTAATAAGTGAACTTCTGTTTTGTCAACAGTATGGACTAAATCAGTGCTTTGCCAGGACCTTAGGGCACAAGTAGAAATTCCAGTTCGCTCACTTCCAGCATGCCCCTGGGTAGTAAACATTCAATGTTTAACCCAAAACAGAGCTAATTCGCCCACTCACCCTCATGCCTTCCCCAATCTTACACAAGTTTTTGATAATGAGCTTTTTTGTTCTTTGGTAATGATTCCTTTTTTTTTTTTTTTTTTATGCTTGTCAAGCCTGTGGATTGTGAGATGTGAGTTCTGGTCTTTCTGTTAACCCTTGGAGTTCTGTCCAGCTGCAGCAGAGGGGTTAATGCATAGTATTCCGCAACACTTTTATCTGATTGAGCTGTCCTATACAAGAGCAGTGAGAAAATGCATTTTGGGTTGCAGAGGACAAGGTCTCTTTGATGGATACAAAAAGCCGGGTTTCCTGTGTCTACACTGGGGTGATACAATTACCTCTCTATTGTTACTCATAGCTATTTTGATCGCACAATAGAAAAAAAGGGGGCAAAAGGGAGATAATTAAAATTGCAGACCACCCCAGAAGGTACAATTTACAGTTCTTTGCCAGTGATGACAAGGGCAGTGGAACCTTTTGCGCAAAACGTTATTCTGTCCATCTGCCTAAATATATCTGCTGCAGAGATGAGCATCTCTTGTGTAAAGCAATCTACAGAAGTTGCCTCCTGCGTAGTCGTTTGTGGCATAGCTCATACTTTCACATTTTGGCACTGAAACATGGCTAACCCCGCTAAAGGGCTGTGATGGAATCCAGTCCAACATATATTTTTTTTTTTTCTGCAGATATTTGTAATTTTTCTAATTTTTGTTATTGAAGAACAGTAGGTGACCCTTAGGGGAATTCGAATGACTGTGACATTTAAGTACCACATGCTTCTGCTTACAGGTTTGGCCTATGCATCAGGTGCCAAATGGAAAAAATGTTGCAGGGAGGCTAAGTGACTGCAAAAGCTATGTCACAGGCTACTGCAGTTGTGGAGCTACAAGGCCCAGCATGCTGAGGGTTGTAGTTCTTTCACATCTTGCTATTTTTTCACTGTTTGCTTCCTGGTTATAGATATGTCTTATGATTATGACTGTACCCCATGCACACTTTACATTCTCGATCTGGAATTTCCAGCAGTACAGTACATATTCTATGCCTCTAGCAGTAGAGGGGTTAGGTCTGCATGGAATGTGCTTTTCAGGGGACAACAGTCCCCCGGGCAGGCCCTGTGGCAGTGACAAGACTTGCGGTACTCATTCTGTCCTATCAAACTGTTCTAAGCTACCATTGGGCAACCTAGACAGGCCTGTGGCAATGACAAGACAGAGGCTGCCTTGCCAGGTTTTGTCCTCAGGTGTAACAGCTCTGAAGAGGCGTGCCTCACATGCTCCTGACTTGCTGCTCTGTGT